AAAAAAATTAAAAAACGTTAATTTAGCTTTTAGCCTGTGTGTTGGCATCGAGTACAAATTCTCACTTTGTCACTTTCTTAGGCACACAAGCCAGCACTATTAAGGAATGGTTCAAACATCGAAGTGATCATCTTGACGAGAGAGAACTACACACAGACAGCAATGTGACAACTGAGCATTTCAGGCCTGGAAGAAGTGATGCTCTCAAATGTAATCTAACACACACGTTTTTAATATAATCCTGATGTCAGTAAATGTGACTCATTCACATCACCGATGACTCAGTAACTTTAATAATAACAAAAGGCCTGACATATTAAAAGTTGAATATTGTTTAGACCACAGGTACGTCACTTTAGTTCCTGAGACGGAGCGTCAGATGGACTTTTATAGTCATATTCGCACAGATGGTCTAGCCAGGAGAATCGAGAAGCCTTTCGAAATGACAGAAACCTTTGAAGATCGCACTGACTTCCTCTTTTATCGACATGCTGTTTACGGAAAGCAAATCAAAGTGATTCGGGCTGGAGAGGCTCTTGAACAACGGCCTCTACAGGTAACGATCTCTCAACAAACAGCTTCGACCTTTAAGCAGTTTAACGCAATATTATCTTACAGGTATAACATTAACCAACAATATACTAGTGGCCTTGCTAACAAAAAACATCCAAAAGATAGAGAAAATGGGTCAATGAAATTTTGTTTGGGGTCTCCAACAGAGGGTGGAGGAGCTGTTTCACAGAGATCATTCTAAGCCGGCAAGTAAAGATGTGGCTGAACGCATCTTTATGGTGTCGGACAGACGGATCCAGGTGACCTTTCATCTCGAGGACGACAGGATCATCCCAGCTTGGCTCAACTTCATCAAACCCAAAGAAGCGGCAGACTCACAGAAAGCACAAGCTTTTACGCCACAGATGGTGTCTGGCTTTCAGGTCTGACGTCATGTCAAAAATGTTTTGGTTGATTCCATAAGCCATAGGTTATACGACTGTTTTATTGGCACGTTAAAATGATAAAACAAAGATTTCGAACCGAACAAAACGTTACAAGAAAACAATTCTCAAGAAAATAAACTCAACAGGCCTTTTTATGATAATAGTATCAAAGTTAAAAGAGTAACATCATAGCAAGACACACTTAAAGTGGTAATATTTTATGAGAATAAAGTAAAAATAAATTAAATTAAATGATGAGAAATAATTGAAAGCAAGGACATTTCAGTTTTTGTCAAGTCACAATGCATAACCCCACCCACAGATCAAATTTCTGGATTTTAAAGAAATCGTTGACTCAGAAATGAAAATTCTGCCTAAATAAATAAATGTAAAAAATGATTAGGTGAAATGTCCAATAGTCTCATTACACTTTGACAAACTGGTGTGCGAGATTTGTATCGAATCGCCTTTTTTACGATCTTCTTTGTATAATCTCAGGCGTACATTTGTAGATTTATGACCTGCTAATTCCACACTGAGGGTTATGTTTAGGGGTGTAGTTTATTAGAAATCATATGATCATTGTATGAGTTAGTGTGAACTTGCAACTTAAAGAAATCGTTGAATTTATAAAGTTCGGAAAAAAATCGTTGACTCAGAAATGAAAATTCTGTCCAATAAAGAAAAAAAAGAGTAGATGACTGGGTGACGTGTCCAACAGAGTCTCATGACAATTCTTAACTGGCGAATTTGTACATTTTTTGTACAACCCGCTGAGTGGGAAATTCGTACAAATTTTCAAATTTGTAAAATAGTTCCGGTTTCTTGTGAGATCCTTTTTGCCGCAGATAGAAAAATTGAATGAAAATGGTGTTATGGTTTATATTTTGTGTTTGCGTTTACATCTTGTTATATTTTGCGTCTTGAGGTGGATCCTTCTACGAAACCCTACAAGAACTTGCAGTTATATGAAATGCTTGTGGAATTGATGAGAGAAGAGGAAAATGTTGAACTTCGTATCAGAGATTCAGAAAAAGAGGTACTGCAGTTCACAAGCAGCATAATAAAAACATCTTCATCTAGCCAATCGCGTTGACGTTAGTATGTTTGCTTCAGGTTAGGTCCATCCTTTCTTCAAGAGAAAAAGAGGACAGTAATACTGACATGCTGATCTCTATCTACAACCCTACGAGGAACGAAACGGCCCGTCTGCACATGGAAGAAAAGGTGCATCGAGGCTTTAATCAGCCAGCCACTTTCATCACACTGATCCAAACTCCCACCTACCTCTGGTTCCTTTTGTTCCTCAGGAACGTATGGCTAAAGAAAAGAAGCAGCGGCAGAAAGAGAAAGAGCTGGACCTACTGGCTCCATCCCAGGTCCGACTGGGACTCCCAGAAGTCCTCACACGCCAGGATGCGCTTCAGCTGAAGACAGACTGTCTGAATGAGTTTAAACAGCAGCTCTTTAACAAAGCCAGCCTCATCCAGAGCAGAATCGAAAAGGCACGTTAGATCATTCAATAAGATTTAGCACCTTCTGCGTACATAAATTCATAATTGTGTACAAACATAAAACAGAAAGTAGCTAATGGAACATCAGCAGCAGTTACAATCTGATTGGATGAATTTGAATGTTTGACTCAATATAATCTTTGGTTTGTTACTTGACCTGGATAAGAGGGCCAGAAAAAAAGCTTCTAGTGAACTGGTGAACTTGTTTGTTCAGGAGACAGAGGAGTTGCAGAAGAAGCAGCTGTGGTACCAGAAGAACTATCTCACTATGTCCAATGAGGACGAGGACGATTACCTGGCCTACTGCTCTGATGCCATGTTCAGGATCCACGTTCTCAAAATGAGACTCATTCGGTACGCACCTTAAATCATTTGCTGAATAATACGCTTATGACAACATGACGTTTTTGTAATATCAAGTTTTTCAAGATGGTACAAAGCCAAGCTTTGGAAGTGTATGGGCAGATCTTTGCCTTGTAAACAAGCGTGTTGGTACATTTTGTTTTAGAAACATGAGTAAATCTGTATATTGTC